TCCCGGCTATGCCCGCTTGTATCCAACCCCCGGGAGATGCTGAGTAAACCTCTCCCGGACAGCTGGATGAACACACACGCAGCAGAAAGAGCCCAGGGTCTGGGGTTGGAAGATCAGATTTCAAATCCTTCATATCCCAGTTCAGACCTGCAGACGTTGGGAACGCTAATATGCCCCTCAGGAAAAGTGTGGCAAGTAAGGAGTAAGCAGTGACCCCCAACTGGGGGCAACTGGTCTGTTGGGGAACATCAGCCCGTGTCTGGGGTCAGTTTTGGTCGTGCTACTGGTGTCTAATGGGCAGAGGCCACGAAAGCTGGCAGGGCAGTCCCCACATCAAACAACTGACGTCAGTAGTCATCAGACGTTGACAGGGCCGAGGCTGACAAATCTGGATTAAAGGAACATGATCTGAAACCATAAAGTCCTACAGCAACGTCACTGACCATCGTTAACAGTATTAATAAGTACCACACATGCAGTAGCCCACATCTTTTTTTTTAAATTTTTTTTTTTTTCAACGTTTATTTATTTTTGGGACAGAGAGAGACAGAGCATGAACGGGGGAGGGGCAGAGAGAGAGGGAGACACAGAATCGGAAACAGGCTCCAGGCTCTGAGCCATCCACCCAGAGCCTGACGTGGGGCTCGAACTCACGGACCGCGAGATTGTGACCTGGCTGAAATCGGACGCTTAACCGACTGCGCCACCCAGGCGCCCCGCCCACATCTTTTAAATACAACATTTTTAGGGCCTCCAGACGTGGCTTTAATGTGATTTTTAAAATGCTGATTTCTTTACAAGATGACACAGATAGATAGGCAATTCAGCTCCTGAAACTCCTTTCTCACCAGGGGCTCCTTATTCTGCAAACCTCCGCCAAATGCTATTGAAAAGACCTTCTGGAAAGACTGCGCTCGAATCTCTGGCCAGAAATAGGAGGACAGGACCCACGGCGCCATTTCTCAAACTAATGGGAGCCTCAGCTGCCCAGGCCTTCGCATCCCTGGACCAGTCCCTGAAACAGATGCTCCACCTGGCTCGGCGGCCTCTTGCCAGTTGAGGTCTCAGCTCAGCAATAAAGTTGTGTTTCTAGAATATTAGGCAGTGCTAATTTGAATTTTGCCCTCTCTTTAGAAACTGAGGCCCAGAGAGGTCAGGCCCAGGGGCACGTCCTCCGCATCCCCACAGTGGCCTGTGCTAGCTACGAGCAGGCAAGGACACAGGGCCCGCTGGACCCACTTTGGTGTTTCAGGGTCCAGGCCGAGATTAGGGCACATCTGTTAAAGGACTGAGTGCGAATCTCCTCCAGGAGCTGGCTGATGCCCCCGGGTGCTGCCTGCTGAGGACAGCTTCCTCATCGCATGGGGGGAGGGGAACTTTTGTCTGCTCAAGAGCTCGTTCTAGCTGACGAAGCACACATCCAGGCAGCCGTGCAGGGGTGAGGCCCCTGGGAGCGCCCTTAAGCCCGTGAGGGCTCGGAGATGCAGGTCACCAACCCCAGAGCAAGGGAGACAGACGGCTGGGAAGGTCTGCAGTTTTAGATCGGGATTCTTGTGGCCAGCTCAGAACCAACCAGAAGAGGCCCAGTGTGGGCACGCTTGGTCTTTCTTAGCAGAAGTTCTCAAAGTACGGATCAGCATGACACCAAGAACATGTTAAAATGCAGATCGCCAGGCCTATTATTCTCTCAGCTTCTGGCTCAGAGGGCACTGTATCCGTTCCCTAAGGCAGCTGTAACACATCGCGAGCGTCTGTGGGGAGCGTCTGGTCCAGGCCCCTCCCCTGGCTTCTGGAGGCTGCTGGCGAACTTTGTGCCCTTCTCCCTGTGTCTGTGCCTCGTCTTATCAGGACACCAGTCCTATTGGATGATGGGCCCCTTACTCTGACATGACCTCATCTCAGCTGACCACATCTGCAACAACCCTAGGTCCAAATGAGGCCACGTTCTAGGATACTGGGGCTAGAACTCCAACATATCTTTTTGCGGGGTGCAATTCAACACATAACAGGTGTGGCAACCCTACATGCTAATACCCCCTACCCCCGGCTGGGGGATTTTAAAAAAAATTTTTTTTTAATGTTTTTTTTGAGAGAAAGAGCATGAGCAGAGGAGGGGCAGAGAGAGAGGGAGACACAGAAGCAGGCTCCAGGCCCTGAGCTGTCAGCACAGAGCCCGACGTAGGGCTCGAACTCACAAACCATGAGATCAGGACCTGAGCCCAAGTCAGATGCTTCACCGACCCCCCCCCCAGCCGGGAGATTCTGATGTGACCACGCGCTCCCTGCTGATTCCCTTTGCAGCCCAATGCACAGCGGCAGCCTGGCCCAGTGTGCTGTGAGCGGATGGCCTGGTCTACCGACAAGGAAAGCGACAGCCGCTAGCCGCTGGAGGCTGCCGGGGTCGGTGAGGCCCCAGGGAATGTGACGGGGAGCCTGGCTCAGCATCTCCGGGTCCCCTACCCAGTCAGGCCACTGGCCACTGGCTGATGTCAGATAGGAAGGTCCTATGTGCCAACGGGGTTCAGAACAACGTTGTTTCAGAATGGGGTGGGCGACAGACAGGTCCCATTTTTTTCTCTTGGTTTAGAAGGAAGACTCTTGGTTTGGGGCACACCGTGCTTGCGAATGGAGACATTGTACAGATGAGAAACTGCAGCAGAGAGGGTGGCGGTGGATGCCACGTGGTCCCCTTCCCACGTTCATCGTGGAGCAGGGATGCGGCTGGACCCGGAGGGGCCCACGCGGTGCTCAGACAGCATCCCGGGGTACGCAGCCGGGCCCTTCATCTGGATACTTGCACATGGCAGGTGGGAGCTAGCCTGGCAGAGCCTTCGGGGCCTGGGGAGGGAGAGGGTGGGCAGCCCAGGTGAGCAGGGAGGCAGGGATGCAGCCACCCCTGAGGCCAGCCGTCTACTTTCCTGTCTCCTGCTTCTGCACATGCCCATCCGCCCCCCACCCCCCGCCCCATCTGGAAAATGACTCTGTTCTCTCTCTTTGCTTTGCCAACTCCTGTCAGCCGCGCCAGCCTCCCTTTAAATGCATGACCACAGATCTCTGAGGAGTCTTCTGCATGGCCGGGCGACTTCCCCCATCAATTCACTTTTCCCTGTGAGAAAGAACATCTTACTGGTCAAAGCCACTATAGGGTGGTGGTTCTGCTAAGAGCAGCCAGATGCGACCCGTAAATAACCCAAGGAGGGGTATCTCATTTTCATGTTCATTTAAAAGGAAATGATCTGGGTTCTTTGGATTCCAGATGAAGCGTCTCCTGGCACACGGGACGGTGTGGCCGCCACGGCTGCCTATTCGGGTCCGTCACCGCTCAGCCTTTTCACAGGCTCACGTCTGCCATCGGGTGCTCTCTGAGGACGCCTCAGTCCATGCTTGAGTGGAGGAAGGGTCCAGAACGAGGCTGCCTGGAGCCCCGGTCCAATGTGCTCGAGCTGGTGTGAGCAGAAGTTCCTGGGGCCAGAGTTCTAGGCCGGGGAAGGGACCCTGCGCCCCAGAGGCGGCGGGACCGCAGGGAAAGGGTGGTGAGCTCGGAAAGCACCCACACATTGGCTGCCACCTTCCCCAGGTCTGACGGACTGTGGTCACAGAGGCCCTTCGCGTCCTGCTGGCCAGAACAGGGGGACTGGACAGACACGGGCCCCCAGTGGCGAGGCCTGCTCTTCTGGCCTGGTGTGCCCGCCTGGGCTGACCTGGGCACCTGGCCGCTAGTCGGAGAGCTGTGGCCGCCCGGGACAAATGTCGGGTTGCTGCTCCTTCGCCCGTCCCAGTGCCCCGTGCAGGATGGGGCCCTGCCCTGCCCAGCGGTCCACTGGCCAGAACCCACGCAATCCTGGACGGAGTCCCTCACCTTCCACTGACACCGTGATGTCCCGGGAGATCAAACTTCTTCACCAGCTGTGTCCCTTCGTTTTGCCTTTCTGTGTACCATCCTCACTCCTGGGGCCCCATGCCCTTCCCCTCCCCCCCCGCCTCAGGACTCAGTGGGGCATGGCAGCTTGGGAAGCTTCCCCGACGCCCGGCTGAGCCTGGCACCTGGTGTGAGAGCCGCTGCCTGGGCTGCCCTCTGGCACACATTCCTGCTGCTGTCACCTGCTGGGAGCAAACGTGGTGCCGTCCTGTGATGTCCAGGGCTCAAGCTGGCACTTCCCCACCTGGCTCTCCCGGAGCGTGGGAAGCACATCCCTTAGGCTCTGCAAGCCCAAGGCCTCGTTCAGTGTCGGTCACATGGAACGGGTCTGCGTCCAGTCCCATGTGTGGGGCTTCAGTCCCCACCCCACGAGCCCACTCCTGCCCAAATCCTGCTTTAATCAGTCCCAGTTGGATGAGCTCCTGACAGCATCCTGCTGGGATCGAGCCTGAGCCGTCTGTGTCCTTTGCTGACTGGCCCCGGTCATGCCGCCAGCTCAGAACCCACCCGAGCCCCTCCTAACCTGGTGTCGTCCCGGCTCCCGCCAGCCCGTGATGCCAGAGTCCCCGTCCGGCCCACACCAGCTCACCCCATTGAATAATAACGGTAACGGTAATCTTTGCATGAGGACTCCGACCTTGTCAGGCATCGTATCCACAATCTCATCTAATCTGCCAACAACCACACCGCAAGGAGAGATTTCCATTTTGTCAGTGCTGACAATGAGGCTCAGTGAGGTGTAGACTTGCCTCAGTTTACTCTGGAGGTGGCAGGCCCGGGGCGATTTCCATCCAGAGCTCGGGCACCGAACTGTCGGAGAGCCTGCGCCCTCTGCACCAGCCTCCCTGTGTGCCAGCTCAGCGTGCTACCCACCCCCCTTCCCGCGAAGACCCCGGGGCCCAGACAGGTGAAGTTGGCGCCCGGCTCGCACGGCGGAGGCGGGATTAGAACTCGGGGCCACCTGCTGCTTCCCTTCCAGCACCATGGCTGGCTTCGCTGGGCTCCAGGGACCACCGTTCTCCGGGGAGCCCTCGTGCCATCTGGGAGGGCTCTGCCCAGCAGCTGCCGGAGGGGGACTTACTTCTCTCTGTTGAATATGATGAATTCCTTCCGCACGGTCTCCAAGCACTGCTGCAGGTGTCCGTTCTGTCAAAGAGCAGAGAGGTGAGAGTAAATGACGGGGCACCATCCAGGGAGCCATACGACAAAGGCTGTGACGACCAGAGCTTGACCTCAATGGGGCTGCAGATGCTGGGGGCGGGGCACGAGCGACGTGCCTGGAGGGGCCCTGACTGCATGGGCGGCTGTGCTGAAGGGAACCCGGTCGATGAGGATGTTCATCTCGACCTAAGTCTGCAGCCATTACATCCAACCTGAAAGTCAGGTTAGAATGGAATATGGGTGGAAAATCACGAAGTGGCTTCCTAATCGCTTGAATGTTCATGAGACCTGATGAAGAAGCGGGATGGCGGGCGGAGCAGAGAATCTCAAGAACGTCCTGCCAAGGTGCCCATCCTCTTTGACAACAGATGCCAGACAGCTCTGTGCTCACAGGGGCGCTATTCCTGGTGCCCTAGATGCTGAGCTGTGAGCACAGAGCCCGACGCGGGGCTCGAACCCACCAACCGTGAGGTCAAGACCTGAGCCAAAGTTGGACGCATGACCGACTGAGCCACCCAGGCGCCCGGTCTTTCCGTTTTGTGCTATGAAAAGCCACCCAATCGCGGAGGCATCTTAGTGACTGCAAATGGAGGCATCTGGAGAGGCAAAGTGAGTTGCCTCCGTTAGGCTAAACAGCAGCCCCTCCCTCCTTTAGGCTCCCTGGACCCTGCGATTCCTGCCCCCGGGGGATCTGCTCACCAGAGGACAGCTGTCCTTTGTGCCGTCTTTGGACCTGTTCTTTGCCAGCCTCTTCTTCTTTTTGTGAAGTGGCCTGGATTCAAGGATCATTTCTTCAAGTTCAAATGTGGGGTCACAATTCAATCTCCCCTTCTGAGAGGAAGCAGAAAAGCAAACACGGTCTGTCTTGGTTGCACCCACCACTGGATTGTGTTCATTCATTCATTCATTCAGTCGATCGTTCATTCAACAAGTAATGGCTAACTACCACTGTGGGGTGTGCTGCTTCCGTTTTATTTCTGGGGAAGAGAAGCAACACCTTCTCGCGGCAGACATGTTCATTTATCCCCATGTCTCCTCCCCCGGCCCTGTTAACATCCACACTCCTCCTCAGCCTCCTTCCCACGAAGCTTCGTGTTTTGCCAGGCCCCAGTTCAGTCTCCCAATCTGATGCTATTCACTTATCACACACACATCTTCATGTCAGGACTACCTCTTCTATAAATGTAATTTTTAATAATTTAATTTTAAAATGCTATTTCTGGCCCATATCTGCCCAATTCCCCAAGCTGGTTCCCTCCTGCCCCTCCGCTGGAGCCAGGCGGGGCTCCGCCCACTTGGGTCAGGAGGAGTTTTGTGCCCCTGACTTCTGGGCCGTGGACCCAAGATCCAGCTGGTGGCTGTCGCTCAGGACGCCAGTCCTGTCAGGCAATACAGCCTAGTGGTTATATCATCCACAGTCTGGAGGTGCACGGGGACTTCTCCCCAAAAAGCCACTCGGATTTTAGGCCCAAGTCTTTCCTGGCCTGATTTATCTGCCATCCGTTCGTTCGTTCGTTCATTCATTCATTCTAATGCAGGCTCTGGATACAGATCCCTGAGGTTAATTTCTCACTGAGTAAATGTGGGTAAGTTCCTCAACATGAGAATACTTCTTGTAAGACCACTCCCCTGTTATGGAGTCTGTATGAGATAATGCTTGCGAAACTTTAGGCCGGTGCCTGGAACACACAGCACACTGAGTCCTGGAGGATTATGATCACTCGTTCACTTAAGACAATGACATGTTGAGAGCTTCTAGTGCCTTCTAGGGCTACCCATTGCTCTGGAGTGTGTCTCAGGCAGAGGCCAGCCGAGGCAAGTGGGCCCTGCCCTCTGAAGCTCTCGGGGGGACAGCAGAGTCACTGTAATAGAATGATATTAGCGGCCAGCGTAGACAGGCCTCTGTGTAGTGCAGGATCAGGGAGGCTGCGATTCACTCCAGGTAAGTCGGGGGGGGGG